CATCACTCCCGAAATGCATGAGTGAAAAGGTCGAGAAATGTCTTCTAATTTAAACTTACAAGGTTTATATCATCATTTGAGCACTTTCATGAACAGATTTTAAGTCAAATCAGCTGATAACAACATTTTGCGGGAAAAATGCCAGTCTTTATATTCATTTAGCTACTTTTGTTTTTCTTGGTATCATACCAGCGTGATTCCACTCCATTCTTCCTTCCTTTTCGATTGTCTTTAGAGGTACCACCTGCCGCTTAAAATTTTGACCAATTTCTCTGCAAAATGCTGCAACTGGAAACTTCTGCGTATTTCATACATCAATTGGATTAATTCGCCAGCCGCCCAAACACCTTTGCTATGCACCTAAGCGTGAACAATTCACAGGGAATGAAGGAGACAATCTGAAGCACGGAACTTATTTTACCGTCATTTGTTGCCCTATTAAACCTTCGGTTAACCGTTTTCTTGGTTCATGGCGGTGCTCAATAATGATAAATCCAAGCCTTTCGAGTGTCTGACTCACCAGGCTACCTGGCAAGGCTATTAAGGCAAGGCAGGGCTGCCAATAGAGCATTGGGACATACCTGACGCAGCTAATACAGAGGTGCTTGATGGCGAAATTCTGCCCTCTGGAGATGTTTATCGTGCGCACCTCTTACTCGTTTCGCATTTTAATCTCGAAGTTTGATGGGCATGATTGAAATTTGTATTTGGTGGTGTGAGTCGGATGACTCTGTCTGCCAGTAGACCATGCAAAAGGTGCGAAATTTTTGTTTTGGGGGAGCAGGAAGAAGCCAGTAAGTCTCCTGTGGACCAACTAATTGTTTACCTTACCTGCTTTCAACACATGATTGGTAACTAGAGTGAGCCATTTTCTGTTTTAATGCATGGAGCTTTGCCATAAGACAAATTACGATGCCACAAGCTTATTTTGTTCCATATTCTCGGTAATTTGCCCCAAATTTCTTAAAGTGATCCCTCATGGCTGCTTTAACTAGATGTTTTCTATAGTTGTCCATGGTTTGCTGACCGACAAATGACTGTATTGTAGACATGCGCTATATTTTAACACAGGGATACTCTAAGGCTGCATATCAGTTACAACATGAGTTAAATACTGATATGTAACAAATAGTCAGACCACCCCATTTAAAATGTGAAGCCAACATCTCAAACTGTGTAATTAAATATGAATAGACAAGCCCAAATGGATGCATTTGCTGCAGCTGAAAAGGTAAGCAGCAATCCTGGCATGGTCATCTAAAAGTTATGTTATTTTTGTAGTAGAGAGATTGTTTTGTGGAGCATGCCCATTATTGCCCTTGACGTAGGTTTACCGTGACAATCAAAATAAGTTGTTCAAAGTGATTATAAGTATTTTTATTTGTGTGTTGTCAACTTTGTCTGATGTCAACAAGCATACACAAATGAACTGAATAAAAATGCAAGTTGAAACCAGCCAAAAACTAGCTTTAAATACCATGTTTTTATCACGAGTGCTGCTGTCAACAGATAGGTGAGTTGAGATGATGTTGATCATATAGGCTGCTCTAAGTTAGGTTAAGTTGGCTAAGTGCCTGGCAAGTGGCAATAGGAATTGTGCAAGAATCAGTAACTCACAACTGCCGCTGTGATAGAAACAGGTTATACAGGACGAGATGATGTAAGGCCTCTTTAGGTTAGGCATAAGCTACTTTCATGGAAATAAGAATTGGTATTTTGTAAGAAACAGTGACAAAATGTTTGCACTCCCTGACCCCATCTTAACAAGTCTATTATGTCTATTACATGAAACACAATAGACATACGTCAAACACAATAGACATACTAAGTATGTCTATTGTGTTTGGCTTGGTGATGGTCTGTTGTGTAGGAGTCCAAGGTTTTTTGTTTGAGTGTTTTATGCTTGTTGCATTTTCTGTTGTTATTTTGTTATTGAATTCCTTTGCTTTGATTTGTGTTGAAAGTGCTGTGGAAAGGAATTGAAAAGTGCCGCATCAAAGTGCGGGTGTTAATAATTGTTGTGCTCATAATGCTGTCATGAAATTACTGTTTTAACACGCGACCGGTTGGCCGGCTAGATACCCTTCGCTCGGGGGTCAATATGACCCCCCCGCCCCTGAGATCTCGGGAACTAAGAAAGTTAGATACACCAAATTTACAGGGTGTCTTGACCTATACGTGAACTCACTTAGGTTAAGGGTTTCAGCTTCCTAGGTCATGATCTTGAGATTGAATAAGGTCAAACAAGGTCAAATTCCAGGTTGGTCTCCAAAGCGCCCCCAGCACCTAGGCAACAGTCTGTAAGCAAAAAGTCACAAGCCCATCCGAGGTCATTGACCTTATTTGACCCTTTGAAGGTCATGGTGACCAGAATGATACAAGACTGCTCTGCGTTTTGCATTTGAATAAGCGACAAAGATAGCGCTGGGCAGAATGTTCCTAAAACATAACGTTCGACCCGAGTCATCTTAGGTCAATGGCCTGTTCTGACCTCTAAAAAGTCAATTGAAGATGTAGAATGCGGTTCCTGCTGTCAATTAATTCGAAATGGGCACCAGAAACTATTCCATGCAGCAAGCCCTAGAGTAATAAATCAAGTTGGTTTTGACCTTGGTCTGACCATCATACCTGACCTTAGGTCAGCGTAATTTGCTCATTCAATATTTGTGGTGCCTAAGACAGCATCTCAGAGATGTCTGTCTTCGTCGAACACTCCGTTGTTGTAATCAGATTGAACGATTCCCTAGAAGTTGCCTTCGCTGAAACCATGGGGTGACTTTGATCTGTCATAGGTCAGCGACCTTACAAGGTATATCTAAAATGTGTACGTCAAACGATCCGCTATGCAATTTTATACAGCCATGCAAAATTTGGCGCAACTACTCCGCGCCGTTCAGAAACCATTCGGGAAAAGCCCTCAGGCGGGGGGGGGGGGCAATTTGCCCCCCCCCCCCACCCGAGCGCGTGTTAATGTATTCTGTTTCGCTTTAATGGCCTAAGATGTTAAAAAACGAAATAGTTTCGTCAGGTTCCTGATATTACGTCCATGCCAACTGGAAATAGATGTCTTTATTTGCTGAAGCATCAGTCACGAGCTCAAAAGCTCCATATTTTGTGACTTGATTTTTTCACTCCCGCACAGTCTTTTTGCGATGAATTTTTCACCCCCACCCTAGTTCAAAAGCGATTCTAGGTCCCTGGTTTATCACGTCAGAGTGGCTGCAAGAGTGGCCGTGTGAGAATTGAAACAGAAGAAGGCCGGCTGACTCACTTGAAAGACTTAAACTTACCGAGAGGTGGCGGGGTGTTACTGGAGTGTACAGTTAATCTCAGTTATGACGATGTTAAGTTAGAGGAAGTGTGTCACATTTCTATGGGTTCTTTTAGTAGAAATCCTCGTCTTGAAAACCATTCGGTGCAGTCCACAGTCCTGTCCTTCTTAAGACTCTAAACTGTTCTGATTTCTGAGCCACACTCCCGTAAAAATGTGCTGACTTTTTCACTGACGCGATTTCAATGCCACCCAGGCATCCAAAACGACATAAAAACGCCATCCAAATCCCACCACTCCACTGGCCATGCGACGTTCAGGGCCACACAATATTGAGTCGTTCATATCTGGTGTCCGTGAACACAATCACCAGATGAGTTAGCTTATCAATTGGCTATCAACCAATGTTGTGCAAACTTTCTCAGATTTTAACACGAATTCCGTTGTGTGCTGCATAACAGCAGGAAGTTAAACATGTCTCCTAGTTAAATGGAAAGAGTTTTAATCGGACATCTTTCTTAAGAACAACAATATGGCCGAGTGTGTGAACAAAGAACACATGTTAAGCTCCCTGATAAATATCCAAGAGCGATACAAGAAAGGGCCAAAACACGAGCACGTAACGATATGTTATCAGCGAACACTTTCAGCCCGTGCTGCCATCTCTCGGGCGATTGAAATGCTACGAGTAAATGCTGTCATGCAAACGTTTCGTGGTGCAATCAAACGATGCATGTTGAGGCACACATTTACTCATTTGATTTTTTCATGATATAAAGCAGTCTTTTTCCTTTAAAGGTGCACCGATAGTTATAAGCTAGCTTATTTCATCACATTTTTCGTGATTTATATCCTTTACTTGCAATCACACACTCGTTTATGACCATATTAGGTAAAAGAGAGTGATCTACATTTGCTTGCGGTTTTTGGCTGAACTTGCCATCTTGGAGATCCTTTCATGCGATTCACAGACCTGTTGTTCTACTTTGCTAGTTTCTGAGCTACATGCCTGCGAGAATGTGCGGAGTTTTTCGGGGAGACCACTTCAATGCAATCCGAGCTTCTAAGACGCCATAATAACTTTATTAAAACTCCGCTATTTCAGTGGTCATGCCGTGATCAAGGCCGATAATAATATAATGGTCGCTTAGATGTGACTTTCGTGCGCACGATTTCCAGATACAACGGCCGTCATTTGGCTATCAATTCATGTTGTGCACTGCATGAAGACGTAATCAAACAATTATGTATTGAGAAACATATTTACTTAACAGCGAAATTGTATTGTCTGGGGCAGCCTTTTTCTCTTGAAAGTATATTAACAGTGACAAGTGAGCTAGTTTCAATCAAAACTAATAATTGATAAACGCAGGTTATTCCATTCTCAGCCTGCTTTGGGTCATTACTCGTACCACTGCTCAATTCATGCATGGCATGGTGCAAAATGTTATTCGTGTCCGAAAGTTGAACATGCACGCAGTACATTTGTTCGGGGTCCACTGAGTTCCGTTGACGTCAGAAATTGTACTTTTACCCATTTTTACTCGTATTTTTACCTATCTTCCATCACCACCGGGTTTTTCTCCCTCGCGGACGTATACGCACGTCCGGGCATGTCGGGGGATTTCAGTCTGGATCGTGTAGGTAAGATCGATGTCTGGACCGATGAGCTCGAAGGTTCAGAGAAAGATTCTCAGCAAACTTCCGTGGCATATTGTTTATTCATAAAATGTCTGCCAAGGTGAGTGGTGATGTCATATGATAATGTATAAGACTGAATGTAGCAGTACATACTGACGTTGTACTAACCTGTCTTTGATGGTTCGCAATCCAACATTCGACAACAGAAGGAAAGTAGTTGGTACGAACCACGGAACGCACGAGTTTTTGTTTTGTTTGTAACGCTTATAGATATCGTAAGGACCGTACACCATGGGTTATAAGAATTGCATCGCATAGTTTTACCTCGTCGAGCTAAAACATCGGCAAGATCGAAACAGTGAGTTTTGTCACCTTGGGCAGCAAGTTTCAGCATATATTGTGTCAGAAATATCAGAACCTAGCTTTTCCAGGAAAACATGTAGAATTGTATTGTGTGCTACAGCCAGCAGTGGTCCCTACCAATGTAGGACGTGCCGCCACCCACGCAGGATCAATCCAGGGTCGTGATTGGACACGGTCAGGCCAGTGGCGGTGTTTCTGGTCCCACCCCACCCCGGCCCCACTCCGCGGTCTGACTGCTGACCACGAGCCGGCACAACCTTGAACGACCAGCTGGCCCGTATAAAACGGGGCACACCTGGGAGCTGAGATCAGTTCACTGCTGAACACGCAGCCAACATGAAAGTAAGTGGCTTATGTAGTGCGGTTTAGCGCATTTGCTGTTGGGAAAAGTCAGTTGTTAGGTCTTTAGGAGACTGAAGTAATATGAGCTGGTGCTCCACCCGAAGAGGCAAAACTTTGATCAACAATATTCTAGGTCAGGCATTTTTTGTTGAAGCTATCGCACTGCATACCCTGCCTATCACCATAGATCTGAAATGATCTTGAAATGCATGCTCAGCCAAAAAGGATGGGTGACTTAGCACGATACCGTTTCCACACTTCTCCCACCGTCAAGGCATGAAGGTTGTGCCTCGGTAGATATACTTCGTAGGAGAGCGTGGAGTCATTTGTTACTGACCCATCTTATCTCGACAACTGGTTGCAAGCGCCTTTAACAGCGTAAATAGCTCGTAACGCGTCTGGTCGTGCCGCTGCTTGCAGTTTCTGCTGATCCTCGCCATCGCCGCCACGGCCGCGGCCGCGCCCCAGCACGGCAATGGCTACGGCCATCAGCAGGACTACCACGAGAAGCGGCCGTAAGTGGTGCTCCCCTGATTTAGGTTTCGCACATGCACTGGCGATACCGCTTGTAATCATTCTCGTAAAAATTATCAGTGCAGCACATGAAGAGGTTGTTTGGTGGCGAATTTAATACCAGTCATATGGGGTTTATTATTAGTGCTGACCGGAAGGCCAGTGCCTTCAACCGAATACAAACGTCACAGCAATCCTAGCGCAATCAAATGATCACAAAGTTATCATCCCTGTGCTTTGTTCTCCAGGTACGCCTACGACTACGCCGTGCACGACCCGCACTACGGCGCCCAGTTCTCCAAGACGGAGCATAGCAACGGCGACAACGTGGAGGGCCAGTACAGCGTCGTGCTGCCCGACGGCCGCACTCAGCATGTCAAATACTACGCCGACCACTACGGCGGCTACAACGCTGACGTCACGTACGAGGGCTACGCCCAGCCCGCAGCTTACCACGCCCAGCCCGCCCACAAGCCCGCCTATCGGCCCGTCCACAAGGCCACCTACGCTGCTGCGCCTGTGCATCACCGCTCCGCCTACAAGCCCGCCTACTCCCCTGCTCCGGCTTACCACAAGCCCGCCTACAGGCCCGTTTATTAAAGATAGCACAGGAAACAATAGGTCTGTGTACAAATGATCATCGAACAGGAAAACTGCAGCGACGGAGGTTGCACTGGACAACGAAAACAAATTTGTGGTTTGTTTTCTTATTTGCACCTCGATTATCTTGTCTTTCATCATGTAGCAGCAGGCAAACTAGTTGTGCAGACGTGCATATCCATGTTTTTTCCAACGTCCCGTGAATTGAAATGTGTTGTCCCTCGTCTTGTCTGTTCTGGATATTCGAGCAGATTTGTGGAATATTTATTTTTGAATACAAGCTTACAGGCTACACGCACCGCGTTTAGCTAAAAAGTGTCATGCAATTCAAGCCATGCAGAGTGAAGCACTGATGGCCTGACCTATATGGGCGGCAGTTCTGTGGGCTTTCGGATCAGCGGGGACTTTATGAGCTTTGTACTGAATATGGTGTGTGAGAGGAGTGACACCAAAATATGCAGCCTGAAGATCAACAGCGATGGCAGATGCTAAACCACTTAGTTAGTCCGTCTGCTACAGTGGCAATACTGACACGATCAGTCTGGCAGTTAATCTCTCAAGCGTTAGGGATGATGAAATAAGCTCACTTATTAAGTTCACAATTGGTTTGCATGCAGGTGCTAAAGACTGCTCGAGACAACACAACTTCACCATTTAATAACTATATTGTTCAATACGTCTACGTCTCAACAGCGTCATGGTAAGTCCTTTATCACGTCAGAGATGGCTGCAAGAATGGCCGTGTGAGAACTGAAACAGTAAGAAGACCGGCAGACTCGCTTGGAAGACTTAAACTTACCGAGAGGTGGCGGTGTGTCACTAGAGTGTGTTTGTGGAGCTGAAGATCTTCACATGCTCTTGTTTTGCCCTTTCTGGTGGGAGTCTTGCATCTTGGTCCGTAATTTGGCATTCTTCACTTGCAATCACACACTCGGTTATGACGGCATTAAGTTACAGGAAGTGTTCCACATTTGTATGGGGTATTTGGCAGAAATTGGCGTCTTGAAGATCATTCGGTGCAGTCCATAGTCTTGTAATTCTTACGACCTAATCTGTTTTGGTTTCTGAGCTACACGCCCGTAAATGTGCTGACTATTTCAGAGAGGCTCTTTTGATGTCCCAGGCATCCAAAACGTCATAATAACGTCATTAAAATCCCACCATTCCACTGATCATGCGTCGTTCAAGGCCAAAAAATATCGAGCTGTTCATATCTGGCGTCCGTGAACACGATCTCCAGATGAGATAGCTTTCAATTGGCTGTCAACCAATGTTGTGCAAGCTATCTCAGATTTTAACACGAATTCCGTTGTGTGCTGCATCAAACAGGAAGTTAAACATGCTTCCTTGATAATACGATTTTTAACAAAACCGGATTCTTAAGAACAGTGCTATAACCGAGTATGTGAGTCCAAGAAAACATGTTAAGCTCTGATATGAATACTCCAGAACACTACGAAAAAAGTGCCAAAACACGAGCACGTCACGATATTTTCACAAGCGAACACTATCAGCCCGTGCTGCCATCTCTCGGAAGATTGAAAACCTGCAGGTGGATGCCGTCATACAGACCTTTCGCGGTGCAATCAAGCAGTGACGTGTTGAGGTGCACATTTAAAAATCGAGAAATTGCATGATCTGGAACTGCCTTTTCCTATTTAAACTACACCAATGGTTATATGTGAGCTTATCTCATTACATTTGCTGTGATTTTATATTCTTCACTTGCAATCGCACACTCGGTTATGACAATATTAAGTGAAAGGGAGTGTTCCACATTTGCTTGCGGTTTTCACCTGAACGTGCCACCTTCTATATCATTTGATGCAGTTCACAGCTCTGCTCTTCTTTTCTGCTGGGTTCTAAGCCACATGCCCGCGAAAATGTGCAGATTTTTTGAGAAGACTATTCCAATGTCACCCGGGCATCTAACACACCATAATAATGCCACTGAAAAACCTTCCAATTCAGTGCTCATGCAGTGATCAATGCTGAGAAAGACAATAACTGTCGAGCCGTTAAGGCGTTGCGCTCGTGAGCACTGATTTCAAGACGTAACGGGCATTAATTGGCCTATCAATGCATGTTGTGCAATGTACGATGACGCAATCTAACAATGCACAAATGAGGAGCATCTTTACTAAGCAGCATATCTCCTTATTCAATAAAAAGTAAATATGTCATTCCAGTGGATCGTGCAATGATCGAGGACAAGAAGAATGTAAGCTGTCGAGTCGTTAAGACGCAGGGTTCTTGAGCACCATTTCCCGATATTTGCAGCCATCTGTTGGCTATCAACCCATGTTGTGCAAGATACGATGTTGTAATCGAGCAATGACGCAGTGAGGAGCATATTTAGTAAACAGAGAAATTGAGTTGTTTATAACTGTCTCTTCCGCCTAAAAGTATACCAACAGTCATAAGTAAGCTTAGTTCATCATACATCCATGCTTTGCTTCAATTTTTTCAGGTATAAAACGTTCTCTTTGAGTTTGACCCCTTTTCTTGGTGTTCTTCCATATTTGTCCCTTATTTTATATTGCTTACTCGGATTCATATATTCGATAAGGGCACTACTGCGTTAAAGTAAAAATTCATCAACGTAAGTTCTTCCAATCTCAGCCTTCTTTCCGTCATTACTCGTACCACTGTTAAATTCATGTATGCTACGGCACAAAACGTGACTCGTGTCCGAAAGTTCCACTGCACGCATTACATTGGTTGAAGGCTCACCGAATTAAAATGGCGTCAGAAATCGTACTTTTACCTATTTTTACTCGTATTCTTACCTTTACTATCAGCACCAGGGTTTTCTCCTTCACGGTAGATATATGCACCTACGCTTTACTTTTGACGCCATGTCGGAGGCTTTCAGTCTGGATCATATAGGTAGTTTTCCATGAGCCCGGAGGTTCAGAGAAAGTCTTTAGCCAACTTCCGTCGCACCTTCTTCATTAATGAAATGTCTGCCAATGTGATGTGAGATGCCACAAGATGGTGTATAAGAAGGAATGCAGCGGTTTATACTAATGTCGCACCAACCTGTGTTTGGCGGGTCGCAATTCAACGCTTGACAGCAGAAGGCAACAGGTTGGTACGAACCTCGGCACACGCGAAATAATTATTACGTTCTAAATGCTTTTAAATATCGTAACACCATACACCATCAAATATATGAATTGTATTGCACAGACTTACCTTGTCAAGCCTAAAAATAGAGGCATGATGGAAACAATTAGTTTTGTCACTTCAACCAGCAAGTCTCAACGTCATATTGCCCAGAAATGTTAGAACTCAACTTCCCCAGGAAAAAAAACGAGTAGAAATTGATGGTGTGCAACAGCCAGCAGCGGTGTCTACCAATGCAGTACGTACTGCCACCTAGCCAGGATCAGTCGAGGGTCGGGACCGGACAAGATCGGGCCAGGGGCGGTGTTTCTGGTCCCACCCCACCCCGGCCCCACTTCGCGGTCTGACTGCTGACCATGGGCTGACACAACCTTGAACGACCAGCTGGCCGTATAAAACGGGGTGCACCTGGGACCTGGGATCAGTTCACTGCAGAACACACAGCCAACATGAAAGTACGTGGCTTCTGTGTGCGGTTTACCGCACTGGCTGTTGGTGATAAATCAGTTGTTAGGTCTTTAGAGACTGAAGCATTATGAGCTGGTGCTCCACCCGAAGAGGCAAAACTTTGATAAACAATATTCTGGTCAGGCTTTTTTGTTGAACTATCGCACGTATACCTTGCCTATCACCATAGATTAAAATGATATTGAAACGCATGCTCAGCCAAAAAGGATGGGTGACTTAGCACGAGACCGTTTCCACACCTCTCCACCGTCAAGCGTAAAGGTTGTGCCTCGGTAGATATATTCGTAGGAGAGCGTGGAGTCATTTGTTACTGACCCATCTTATTCTGACAACTGGTTGCAAGCGCCTTTAACAGCGTAAATAGCTTGTAACGCTGTCTGGTCGTGCCGCTGCTTTGCAGTTTCTGCTGATCCTCGCCATCGCCTGCCACGGCCGCGGCCGCGCCCCAGCACGGCAATGGCTACGGCCATCAGCAGGACTACCACGAGAAGCGGCCGTAAGTGGTGCTCCCCTGATTTAGGTTTCGCACATACACTGGCGATACCGCTTGTATCATTCTCGTAAAAATTATCAGTGCAGCACATGAAGAGGCTCGTTTGGTGGCAAATTTATTATCAGTCATATGGGGTTTATTATTAGTGCTGACCGAAGGGCAGTGCCTTCAACCGAATACAAACGTCACAGCAATCCTAGCGCAAGCAAATGATCACAAAGTTATCATCCCTGTGCTTTGTTCTCCAGGTACGCCTACGACTACGCCGTGCACGACCCGCACTACGGCGCCCAGTTCTCCAAGACGGAGCATAGGCAACGGCGACAACGTGGAGGGCCAGTACAGCGTCGTGCTGCCCGACGGCCGCACCCAGCATGTCAAGTACTACGCCGACCGCTACGGCGGCTACAACGCTGACGTCACGTACGAGGGCTACGCCCAGCCCGCAGCTTACCACGCCCAGCCCGCCCACAAGCCCGCCTATCGGCCCGTCCACAAGGCCACCTACGCTGCTGCGCCTGTGCATCACCGCTCCGCCTACAAGCCCACCTACTCCCCTGCTCCGGCTTACCACAAGCCCGCCTACAGGCCCGTTTATTGAAGATAGCACAGGAAACAATAGGTCTGTGTACAAATGATCATCGAACAGGAAAACTGCAGCGACGGAGGATGCACTGGACAACGAAAACAAATTTGTGATTTGTTTTCTTATTTGCACCTCGATTATCATGTCCTTTCATCATGTAGCAGCAGGCAAACTAGTTGTACAGACGTGCATATCCATGTTTTTTCCAACGTCCCGTGGATTGAAATGTGTTGTCCCTCGTCTTGTCTGCTCTGGATATTCGAACAGATTTGTGAAATATTTATTTTTGAATACATGCTCAGAGGCTACATGCACCGCGTTTAGTTAAAAAGTGTCATGCCATTCAAGCCACGCAGAGTGAATCACTGATGTCCTGACCTATATGGACTGCAGCTCTATGGGCCTTCGGATCAGCGTGAACTCTATGAGCTTTGTATGAATATGGTGTGTGAGAGGAGTGACACCAAAATATGCAGCCTGAAGATCAAGAGCGATGGCAGACGCTAAACCACTTCAGTTAGCCCGTCTGCTACAGTGGCAATGGTGTCACGGTCAGTCTGGCATTTAATCTGTCAAGCGTTAGAGATGATGAAATACGCTCACTTATTATGTTCACGACTGGTTTGCTTTCAGATGTTAAGGACTGCTCAAGACAACACAATTTCACCATTTACTAACTATATTGCTCAATGCGTCACCGTCTAATTGCGCCATGGTACGTCTTTATCACGTCAGAGTGGCTGCAAGAATGGCCGTGTCAGAATTGAAACAGAAGAAGGCCGGTGACTAACTTGAGAGACTTAAACTTACCGAGAGGTGGCGGTGTGTTACTGGAGTGTTGCAGTTGATCTCAGTTATGACGTTTTTTTTTTTTTTTTTTTCTTTCACATTTCTTTTTTTTAGCAGAAATTGCCGTCCTGAAAACCATTCGGTGGAGTCCACTGTCCTGTCCTTCTTAAGGCCTTAACTGTTCTGGTTTCTTAGCTACACTCCCGTAAAATGTGCTGACTATTTCACGGACGCGATTTCAATGCCACCCAGGCGTCCAACGCCATAAAACGCCATTCAAATCCCGCCATTCCACTGGCTATGCGGCGTTCAAGGTAAAACATATCGATGCGTTCATATCTGGTGTCATTGAACACAATCACCAGATGAGGTAGCTTTCAATTGGCTATCAACCAATGTTGTGGAAGCCCTCTCAGATCTTACCACGAATTCTTTGTGTGCTGCATAATACAGGAAGTTAAACATGCCTCCTAGATATGGAAAGAGTTTTAATCGACTTCCTTCTTAAGAACAACAATATGACCGAGTGTGTGAGGACAAGAACGCATGTTAAGCTCTCAGATGAATATCCAAGAGCGGTACAAGAAAGGGCCGAAACAAGAGCACGTCACGATACTTTCTCAGCGAACACTTCAGCCCGTGCTGCCATCTCTCGGGCGATTGAAATGCTGCAAGTAAATGCTGTCATACAAACGTTTCGTGGTGCAATCAAACAATGCTTGATGAGGAGCACATTTATTAACTGGATTTTTTCATGATCTAGGGCAGTCTTTTCCCCTTTAAGGTACACGATAGTTATAAGTTAGCTATTTCATCACATTTTCGTGATTTTACATTCTTCACTTGCAACTACACACTCGGTTATGACCATGTTAAGCAAAAGAGAGTGATCTACAGTTGCTTGCGGTTTTAGCTGAACTCGCGATCTTGGATATCCTTTCATGTAATTCACAGCCCTGCTCTTCTACTCTGCTTGTTTCTTAGCTACATGCCTGCGAGAATGTGCGGAGGTTTTTCGGGGGGACCATTTCAATGCAGCCCGAGCTTCTAAGAAGCCCTAAAAATAGGTCATTAAAGCTCCGCTATTTTCAGTGGTCATGCCGTGATAAAGGCTGATAATAATGTAATTGTCGTTTAGATGTGACTTTCGTGAGCACGATTTCCAGACACACCGGCGGTCATTTGGCTATCAATTCATGTTGTGCACTGCACGATGACGTAACCTGAACAATGATGCATTGAGAAGCATATTTACTTAAAAGAGAAATTGCATTGTCTGGGGCAGCCTTTTCCTCTTGAAAGTATACTAACATATGATAAGGTGAGCTAGTTTCATCATATCTGGTTTTTTGCTTCAAAACCTTCAAATGCCATGCATTCCAACTGAGTTGGCACCTTTTCTCGGTGTTCTTCCGTATTTGTCCCTGATTTGGTATCGCTTCGTTACATTCATATACTCGGTTAGGGCACTATTACGTTAATTAAGTGATTGATTAACGACAAGTTGATCCATTCTCAGCCTTATTTGGGCCACTACTCGTGCCACTGCTAAATTCATGCATGCATGGTGCAAAACGTGATTCGTGTCCGAAAGTGAACATGCACGCATTACATTTGTTCGGGGTCCACGTAATTCCGTTGATGTCAGAAATCGCACCTTTACCCCATTTTACTCGTATTTTTACCTATCTTACATCACCACCGGGCTCTCTCCTTCGCGGAACGTATACGCACGTCCGGGCATGTCGGGAGCTTTCAGTTTGGATCGTATAGGTAAGATCCATGTACCTGCAACCGATGAGCTCGAAGGTTCAGAGAAAGATCTCAGCAAACGTCCGTGGCATACTGTTTATTCATAAAATGTCTGCCAAAGGTGAGTGGTGATGTCATATGAAAATGTATAAGACTGAATGTAGCAGTACATACTGACGTTTGTACTAGCCTGTCCTTTGGTCTGCTCGCAATCCAACATTCGACGACAACAGAAGGAAAGTAGCTGATACAAACCACGAGACGCACGATTTGGGTTTTGTTTCTGAACGCTTATAGATATCGTATGTACCGTACATGATGGGCGATAAGAACTGCGTCGCGCGGTTTTACCTAGTCGAGCTAAAATACCGGCAAGATCGCAACAATGAGTTTTGTCTCCACGGGCAGCAAGTTTCAGCATATATTGTGTCAGAAATATCAGAACCTAGCTTTTCCAGGAAAAACGTAGAATTGTATTGTGTGCAACAGCCAGCAGTGGTCCCTACCAATGTAGGACGTGCCGCCACCCAGCCAGGATCAATCCAGGGTCGTGATTGGACACGGTCAGGCCAGTGGCGGTGTTTCTGGTCCCACCCCACCCCGGCCCCACTCCGCGGTTTGACTGCTGACCACTGAGCCGGCACAACCTTGAACGACCAGCTGGCCCGTATAAAACGGGGCACACCTGGGAGCTGAGATCAGTTCACTGCTGAACACACAGCCAACATGAAAGTAAGTGGCTTCTGTGTGCGGTTTAGCCGCATCTGCTGCTGGGAAAAGTCAGTTGTTAGGTCTTTAGGGACTGAAGCAATCTGAGTTGGTGCTCCACCCGAAGAGGCAAAACTTTGATCAACAATATTCTGGTCCGGCATTTTTGTTGAACTATCTCACGCATACCTTGCCTATCACCATAGATTGAAATGCTATTGAAACGCATGCTCGCCAAAAAGGATGGGTGACTTAGGCACGAGACCGTTTCTACATTTATCGAACGTCAAGCATAAAGGTTGTGTCTCGGCAGACATATTCGTAGGAGAGCGTGGAGTCACTTGTTACTGACCCATGCTATCTTGACAACTGGTTGCAAGCGCCTATAACAGCGTAAATAGCTTGTAACGCGTCTGGTCGTGCCGCTGCTTGCAGTTTCTGCTGATCCTCGCCATCGCCGCCACGGCCGCGGCCGCGCCCCAGCACGGCAATGGCTACGGCCATCAGCAGGACTACCACGAGAAGCGGCCGTAAGTGGTGCTCCCCTGATTTAGGTTTCGCACATACACTGGCGATACCGCTTGTAATCATTCTCGCAAAAATTATTCAGTGCAGCACCTGAAGAGACGCGTTTGGTGGCAAATTTGTTATCAGTCATATGGCGTTTATTATTAGTGCGGACCGAAAGGCAGTGCCTCAACCAAATACAAACGTCACAGCAATCCTAGCGCAATCAAATGATCACAAAGTTATCATCCCTGTGCTTTGTTCTCCAGGTACGCCTACGACTACGCCGTGCACGACCCGCCACTACGGCGCCCAGTTCTCCAAACGGAGCATAGCAACGGCGACAACGTGGAGGGCCAGTACAGCGTTCGTGCTGCCCGACGGCCGCACCAGCACGTCAAGTACTACGGCCGACCACTACGGGCGGCTACAATGCTGACGTCACGTACGAGGGCTACGCCCAGCCCGCAGCTTACCACGCCCAGCCCGCCCACAAGCCCGCCTATCGGTCCCGTCCACAAGGCCACCTACGCTGCTGCGCCTGTGCATCACCGCTCCGCCTACAAGCCCGCCTACTCCCCTGCTCCGGCTTACCACAAGCCCGCCTACAGGCCCGTTTATTAAAGATAGGTCAAGGAAACAATAGGTCTGCGTACAAATGATCATCGAACAGGAAACATCGCAGCGTACGGAGGTTGCAATGGACAACGAAAACAAATTTGTGGATTTGTTTTCTTATTTGCACCTCGATTATCTTGTCTTTCATCATGTAGCAGCAGGCAAACTAGTTGTACAGACGTGCATATCCATGTTTTTTCCAACGTCCCGTGAATTGAAATGTGTTGTCCCTCGTCTTGTCTGCTCTAGATATTCGAAGCAGATCTGTGGAATATTTATTTTTGAATACAAGCTTACAGGCTACATGCACCGCGTTTAGTTAAAAAGTGTCATGCAATTCAAGCCATGCAGAGTAAATCACTGATGTCCTGACCTATATGGGACTGCAGCTCTGTGGGCTTTCGGATCAGCGGGGACTCTATGAGCTTTGTACGAATATGGTGTGTGAGAGGAGTGACACCAAAATATGCAGCCGAAGATCAAGAGCGATGGCAGACGCTAAACCACTCGTTAGCCCGTCTGCTACAGTGGCAATGGTTGTCACGGTCAGTCCTGGCAGCCAATCTCAAGCGTTAAAGATGATAATTACGCTCACTTATTAAGATCAACTGGATTGCATTCAGGTGCTAAAGACTGCTCAAGACAACACAATTTCACCATTTAGTAGCTATATTGTTCAATAAGTCACTGTCTAATAGCGTCATGGTAAGCCTTTATCACGTCAGAGTGGCTGCAAGAATGGCCGTGTCAGAATTGAAACAGAAGAAGGCCGGTGACTAACTTGAGAGACTTAAACTTACCGAGAGTGGCGGTGTGTTACTGGAGTGTTGCAGTTGATCTCAGTTATGACGATGCCAAGCTAAACGAAGTGTTTCACATTTCTGTTTTTTTTTAGCAGAAATTGCCGTCCTGAAAATCATTCGGTGGAGTCCACTGTCCTGTCCTTCTTAAGGCCTTAACTGCTCTGGTTTCTTAGCTACACTCCGTAAAATGTGCTGACTATTTCACGGACGCGATTTCAATGCCACCCAGGCGTCCAAACGCCATAAAACGCCATTCAAATCCCGCCATTCCACTGGCTATGCGGCGTTCAAGGTAAAGAACATATCGATGCGTTCATATCTGGTGTCATTCGAACACATCACCAGATGAGGCAGCTTTCAATTGGCTATCAACCAATGTTGTGGAAGCCCTCTCAGATCTTTCCACTATTCTGTTGTGTGCTGCATAATACAGGAAGTTAAACATGCCTCCTAGATAATATGGAAAGAGTTTAAATCGGACTTCCTTCTTAAGAACAACAATATGACCGAGTGTGTGAGGACAAGAACGCATGTTAAGCTCTCAGATGAATATCCAAGAGCGGTACAAGAAAGGGCCGAAACAAGAGCACGTCACGATACTTTCTCAGACGAACACTTTCAGCCCGTGCTGCCATCTCCCGGGCGATTGAAATGCTGCAAGTAAATGCTGTCATACAAACGTTTCGTGGTGCAATCAAACAATGCTTGATGAGGAGCACATTATTAACTGGATTTTTCATGATCTAGGGCAGTCTTTTCCCCTTAAAGGTACACTGATAGTTATAAGTTAGCTTATTTCATCACATTTTTCGTGATTTTACATTCTTCACTTGCAACTACACACTCGGTTATGACCATGTGAGATAAAAGAGAGTGATCTACATTTGCTTGCGGTTTTAGCTGAACTCGCGATCTTGGATAGCCTTTCATGTAATTCACAGCCCTGCTCTTCTACTCTGCTTGTTTCTGAGCTACATGCCTGCGAGAATGTGCGGAGTTTTTCGGGGAGACCATTTCAATGCAGCCCGAGCTTCTAAGACGCCGTAAAATAAGGTCATTAAAGCTCCGCTATTTCAGTGGTCATGCCGTGATAAAGGCTGATAATAATGTAATTGTCGTTTTAAGATGTGACTTTCGTGAGCACGATTTCCAGATACACCGGCGGTCATTTGGCTATCAATTCATGTTGTGCACTGCACGATGACGTAACTGAACAATGATGTATTGAGACACATATTTACTTAAAAGAGAAATTGTATTGTCTGGGGCAGCCTTTTTCCTCTTGAAAGTATATTAACAATGATAAATGAGCTAGTTTCATCATATCTGTGTTTTTGCTTCAAAGCCTTCAAATGCGATGCATTCCAACTGTGTTTGGCCCCTTTTCTCGGTGTTTTCTTCCGTATTTGTCCCTGATTTGGTATCGCTTCGTTACATTCATATGCTCGGTTAGGGCACTATTGCGTTAACTTAATAATTTATTAACACAAGTTATTCCATTCTCAGCCTTATTTGGGCCATTACTCGTGCCACTGCTAAATTCATGCATGCCATGGTGCAAAACGTGATTCGTGTCCGAAAGTTGAACATGCACGCATTACATTTGTTCGGGGTCCACGTAATTCCGTTGATGTCAGAAAACGCACCTTTACCCATTTTTACTCGTATTTTTACCTATCTTACATCACCATCGGGCTCTTCTCCTTCGCGGACGTATACGCACGTCCGGGCATGTCGGGAGCTTTCAGTTTGGATCGTATAGGTAATATCAATGTCTGAACCGATGAGCTCGAAGGTTCAGAGAAAGATCTCAGCAAACTTCCGTGGCATACTGTTTATTCATAAAATGTCTGCCAAGGTGAGTGGTGATGTCACATGATAATGTATAAGACTGAATGTAGCAGTAACATACTGACGTTTTACTAGCCTGTCTTTGGTTGCTCGCAATCCAACATTCGACGACAACAGAAGGAAAGTAGTTGATACAAACCACGAAACGTACGATTTGGGTTTTGTTTCTAAACGCTTATAGATGTCGTATGTACCGTACATTATGGGCGATCAGAACTGCGTCGCGCGGTTTTACCTAGTCGAGCTAAAATACCGGCAAGATCGAAACAATGAGTTTTGTCTCCACGGGCAGCACGTTTCAGCATATATTGTGTCAGAAATATCAGAACCCAGCTTTTCCAGGAAAAAATGTAGGATTTTATGGTGTGCAACAGCCAGCAGTGGTCCCTACCAATGTAGGACGTGCCGCCACCCACGCAGGATCAATCCAGGGTCGTGATTGGACACGGTCAGGCCAGTGGCGGTGTTTCTGGTCCCACCCCACCCCGGCCCCACTCCGCGGTTTGACTGCTGACCATGAGCCGGCACAACCTTGAACGACCAGCTGGCCCGTATAAAACGGGGCACACCTGGGAGCTGAGATCAGTTCACTGCTGAACACGCAGCCAACATGAAAGTAAGCGCCTTCTGTGTGCGGTTTAGCGCATTTGCTGCTGGGAAAAGTCAGTTGTTAGGTCTTTAGGGACTGAAGCAATCTGAGTCGGTGCTCCACCCGAAGAGGCAAAACTTTGATCAACAATATTCTGGTCCGGCATTTTTGTTGAACTATCGCACGCATACCTTGCCTATCACTATAGATTGAAATGCTATTGAAACGCATGCTCGGCCAAAAAGGATGGGTGACTTAGCACGAGACCAGTTTCTACATTTATCGAGCGTCAAGGATAAAGGTTGTGTCTCGGCAAACATATTCGTAGGAGATGCGTGGAGTCATTTGTTACTGACTCATGCTATCTTGACAACTGGTTGCAAGGCCTATAACAGCGTAATAGCTTGTAACGCGTCTGGTCGTGCCGCTGCTTGCAGTTTCTGCTGATCCTCGCCATCGCCGCCACGGCCGCGGCCGCGCCCCAGCACGGCAATGGCTACGGCCATCAGCAGGACTACCACGAGAAGCGGCCGTAAGTGGTGCTCCCCTGATTTAGGTTTCGCACATACACTGGCGATACCGCTTGTAATCATTCTCGTAAAAATTATCAGTGCAGCACATGAAGAGACTCGTTTGGTGGCAAATTTATTATTAGTCATATGGAGTTTATTATTAGTGCTGACCGAAAGGCAGTGCGTTCAACCGAATACAAACGTCACAGCAATCCTAGCGCAATCAAATGATCACAAAGTTATCATCCCTGTGCTTTGTTCTCCAGGTACGCCTACGACTACGCCGTGCACGACCCGCACTACGGCGCCCAGTTCTCCAAGACGGAGCATAGCAACGGCGACAACGTGGAGGGCCAGTACAGCGTCGTGCTGCCCGACGGCCGCACCCAGCACGTCAAGTACTACGCCGACCACTACGGCGGCTACAACGCTGACGTCACGTACGAGGGCTACGCCCAGCCCGCAGCTTACCACGCCCAGCCCGCCCACAAGCCCGCCTATCGGCCCGTCCACAAGGCCACCTACGCTGCTGCGCCTGTGCATCACCGCTCCGCCTACAAGCCCGCCTACTCCCCTGCTCCGGCATACCACAAGCCCGCCTACAGGCCCGTTTATTAAAGATAGCACAGGAAACAATAGGTCTGTGTACAAATGATCATCGAACAGGAAAACTGCAGCGACGGATGTTGCACTGGACAACGAAAACAAATTTGTGATTTGTTTTCTTATTTGCACCTCGATTATCATGTCTTTCATCATTAGCAGCAGGAAAACTAATTATGCAGACGTGCATATCCATGTTTCTTCCAACGTCCCGTGAATTGAAATGTGTTGTCCCTCGTCTTGTCTGCTCTGGATATTCGAACAGATTTGTGAAATATTTATTTTTGAATACATGCTCACAGGCTACATGTACCGCGTTTAGTTAAAAAGTGTCAGGCCATTCAAGCCACGCAGAGTGAATCACTCATGTCCTGACCTATATGGACTGCAGCTCTATGGGCTTTCGGATCAGCGTGAACTCTATGAGCTTTGTATGAATGTGGTGTGTGAGAGGAGTGACACCAAAATATGCAGCCTGAAGATCAAGAGCGATGGCAGATGCTAAACCACTCCAGTGAGCCCGTCTGCTACAGGAGCAACGCTGACACGATCAGTCTGGCAGTTAATCTCTCAAGCGTTAGGGATGATGAAATACGCTCACTTATTAATTTCACGACTAGTTTGCATTTAGGTGTTCAAGACTGCTCAAGAGAACACAGTTCAACCAGAAGCACTGATGGCTTGTCCTATTTGGACTCCAGCTCTATGGGCTTTCGTATCAGAGGGGACTCTATGAGCTTTGTATGAATATGGTGTGTGAGAGGAGTGACACCAAAATATGCAGCCCGAAGATCAAGAGCGATGGCAGACGCTAAACCACTTCAGTTAGCCCGTCTGCTACAGTGGCAATGGTGTCACGGTCAGTCTGGCAGCCAATCTCTCAAGCGTTAAAGATGATGAATTACGCTCACTTATTAAGTTCTCAACTGGATTGCATTCAGGTGTTAAAGACTGCTCAAGACAACACAATTTCACCATTTAGTAGCTTTATTGCTCAATAAGTCACTGTCTAATAGCGTCATGGTAAGCCTTCATCACGTCAGAGTGGCTGCAAGAATGGCCGTGTCAGAATTGAAACAGAAGAAGGCCGGTGACTAACTTGAGAGACTTAAACTTACCGAGAGGTGGCGGTGTGTTACTGGAGTGTTGCAGTTGATCTCAGTTATGACGACGCCAAGTCAAAGGAAGTGTTTCACATTTCTGTTTTTTTTAACAGAAATTGCCGTCCTGAAAATCATTCGGTGGAGTCCACTGTCCACCCCTTCTTAAGGCCTTAACTGTTCTGGTTTCTTAGCTACACTCCCGTAAAAATGTGCTGACTATTTCACGGACGCGATTTCAATGCCACCCAGGCGTCCAAACGCCATAAAACGCCATTCAAATCCCGCCATTCCACTGGCTATGTGGCGTTCAAGGTAAAAACATATCGATGCGTTCATATCTGGTGTCATTGAACACAATCACCAGATGAGGCAGCTTTCAATTGGCTATCAACCAATGTTGTGGAAGCCCTCTCAGATCTTTCCACGAATTCTGTTGTGTGCTGCATAATACAGGAAGTTAAACATGCCTCCTAGATAATATGGAAAGAGTTTAAATCCGACTTCCTTCTTAAGAACAACAATATGACCGAGTGTTTGAGGACAAGAACGCATGTTAAGCTCCCAGATGAATATCCAAGAGCGGTACAAGAAAGGGCCGAAACAAGAGCACGTCACGATGCTTTCTCAGAGAACACTCTCAGCCCGTACTGCCATCTCTCGGGCGATTGAAATGCTGCAAGTAAATGCTGTCATACAAACGTTTCGTGGTGCAATCAAACAATGCTTGATGAGGAGCACATTTATTAACTGGATTTTTTCATGATCTAGGGCAGTCTTTTCCTCTTAAAGGTACACTGATAGTTATAAGTTAGCTTATTTCATCACATTTTTCGTGATTTTACATTCTTCACTTGCAACTACACACTCGGTTATGACCATGTGAGATAAAAGAGAGTGATCTACATTTGCTTGCGGTTTTAGCTGAACTCGCGATCTTGGATAGCCTTTCATGTAATTCACAGCCCTGCTCTTCTACTCTGCTTGTTTCTGAGCTACATGCCTGCGAGAATGTGCGGAGTTTTTCGGGGAGACCATTTCAATGCAGCCCGAGCTTCTAAGACGCCGTAAAATAAGGTCATTAAAGCTCCGCTATTTCAGTGGTCATGCCGTGATAAAGGCTGATAATAATGTAATTGTCGTTTAGATGTGACTTTCGTGAGCACGATTTCCAGATACACCGGCGGTCATTTGGCTATCAATTCATGTTGTGCACTGCACGATGACGTAACTGAACAATGATGTGTTGAGAAACATATTCACTTAAAAGAGAAATTGCATTGTCTGGGGCAGCCTTTTCCTCTTGAAAGTATATTAACAATGACAAGTGAGCTAGTTTCATCATATCTGGTTTTTGCTTCAAAGCCTTCAAATGCGATGCATTCCAACTGAGTTTGGCCCCCTTTCACAGTGTTCTTCCGTATTTGTCCCTGATTTGGTATCGCTTCGCTACATTCATATACTCGGTTAGGGCACTATTACGTTAAATTGATAAGTTATTAACACAAGTTATTCCATTCTCAGCCGTATTTGGACCATTACTCGTACCACTGCTAAATTCATGCATGCCATGGTGCAAAACGTGATTCGTGTCCGAAAGTTGAACATGCACGCATTTCACTTGTTCGGGGTCCACTTAATTCCGCTGATGTCAGAAATCGCACCTTTACCCATTTTTACTCGTATTTTTACCTATCTTACATCACCACCGGGCTCTTCTCCCTCGCGAACGTATACGCACGTCCGGGCATGTCGGGAGCTTTCAGTTTGGATCGTATAGGTAATATCAATGTCTGAACCGATGAGCTCGAAGGTTCAGAGAAAGATCTCAGCAAACTTCCGTGGCATACTGTTTATTCATAAAATGTCTGCCAAGGTGAGTGGTGATGTCATATGAAAATGTATAAGACTGAATGTGGCAGTACATACTGACGTTGTACTAGCCTGTCTTTGGTTGCTCGCAATCCAACATTCGACGACAACGGAAGGAAAGTAGTTGAAAGTATTTGTTAACCACGAAACGTACGATTTGGGTTTTGCTTCTAAACGCTTATAGATGTCGTATGTACCGTACATTATGGGCGATCAGAACTGCGTCGCGCGGTTTTACCTCGTCGAGCTAAAATACCGGCAAGATCGAAACAATGAGTTTTGTCTGAACGGGCAGCAAGTTTCAGCATATATTGTGTCAGAAATATCAGAACCCAGCTTCTCCAGGGAAAAATATAGAATTGTATTGTGTGCAACAGCCAGCAGTGGTCCCTACCAATGTAGGACGTGCGGCCACCCACGCAGGATCAATCCAGGGTCGTGATTGGACACGGTCAGGCCAGTGGCGGTGTTCCTGGTCCCACCCCACCCCGGCCCACTCCGCGGTTTGACTGCTGACCATGAGCCGGCACAACCTTGAACGACCAGCTGGCCCGTATAAAACGGGGCACACCTGGGAGCTGAGATCAGTTCACTGCTGAACACGCAGCCAACATGAAAGTAAGCGCCTTCTGTGTGCGGTTTAGCGCATTTGCTGCTGGGAAAAGTCAGTTGTTAGGTCTTTAGGGACTGAAGCAATCTGAGTCGGTGCTCCACCCGAAGAGGCAAAACTTTGATCAACAATATTCTGGTCCGGCATTTTTGTTGAACTATCGCACGCATACCTTGCCTATCACCATAGATTGAAATGCTATTGAAACGCATGCTCGGCCAAAAAGGATGGGTGACTTAGCACGAGACCAGTTTCTACATTTATCGAGCGTCAAGGATAAAGGTTGTGTCTCGGCAAACATATTCGTAGGAGAGCGTGGAGTCATTTGTTACTGACTCATGCTATCTTGACAACTGGTTGCAAGGCCTATAACAGCGTAAATAGCTTGTAACGCGTCTGGTCGTGCCGCTGCTTGCAGTTTCTGCTGATCCTCGCCATCGCCGCCACGGCCGCGGCCGCGCCCCAGCACGGCAATGGCTACGGCCATCAGCAGGACTACCACGAGAAGCGGCCGTAAGTGGTGCTCCCCTGATTTAGGTTTCGCACATACACTGGCGATACCGCTTGTAATCATTCTCGTAAAAATTGTCAGTGCAGCACATGAAGAGACTCGTTTGGTGGCAAATTTGTTATCAGTCATATGGGGTTTATTATTAGTGCTGACCGAAAGGCAGTGCCTTCAACCGAATACAAACGTCACAGCAATCCTAGCGCAATCAAATGATCGCAAAGTTATCATCCCTGTGCTTTGTTCTCCAGGTACGCCTACGACTACGCCGTGCACGACCCGCACTACGGCGCCCAGTTCTCCAAGACGGAGCATAGCAACGGCAACAACGTGGAGGGCCAGTACAGCGTCGTGCTGCCCGACGGCCGCACTCAGCACGTCAAGTACTACGCCGACCACTACGGCGGCTACAACGCTGACGTCACGTACGAGGGCTACGCCCAGCCCGCAGCTTACCACGCCCAGCCCGCCCACAAGCCCGCCTATCGGCCCGTCCACAAGGCCACCTACGCTGCTGCGCCTGTGCATCACCGCTCCGCCTACAAGCCCGCCTACTCCCCTGCTCCGGCTTACCACAAGCCCGCCTACAGGCCCGTTTATTAAAGATGGTCCAGGAAACAACAGGTCTGCGTACAAATGATCAGCGAACAGGAACATCGCAGCGTCGGAGGTGGCAATGGACAACGAAACAAATTTGTGATTTGTTTTCTTATTTGCACCTCGATTATCATGTCTTTCATCATGTAGCAGCAGGCAAACTAGTTGTACAGACGTGCATATCCATGTTTTTTCCAACGTCGCGTGAATTGAAATGTGTTGTCCCTCGTCTTGTCTTCTCTGGATATTCGAACAGATTTGTGGAATATTTATTGTTGAATACATGCTCACAGGCTACATGTACCACGTTTAGTGAAAAAGTGTCATGCCATTCAAGCCACGCAGAGTGAATCACTGATGTCCTGACCTATATGGACTGCAGCTCTATGGGCTTTCGGATGAGCGTGAACTCTATGAGCTTTGTGTGAATATGGTGTGTGAGAGGAGTGACACCAAAATATGCAGCCTGAAGATCAAGAACGATGGCAGATGCTAAACCACTCCAGTGAGCCCGTCTGCTACAGGAGCAACGCCGACACGATCAGTCTGGCAGTTAATCTGTCAAGCGTTAGAGATGATGAAATACGCTCACTTATTATGTTCACGACTGGTTTGCTTTCAGATGTTAAGGACTGCTCAAGACAGCACAATTTCACCATTTACTAACTATATTGCTCAATACGTCACCGTCTAATTGCGCCATGGTACGTCTTTATCACGTCAGAGTGGCTGCAAGAATGGCCGTGTAAGAATTGAAACAGAAGAAGACCGCCAGACTCACTTGAAAGACTTAAACTTACCGAGAGGTGGAGGCGTGTTACTAGAGTGTGTTTGCGGGGCTGAAGATCGTCACGTGCTCGTGTTTTGTCCTTTCTGGTGGTGTTCTTGCATATTTGTCCGTAATTTTTTATTCTTCACTTGCAATCACACGTTTGGCTATGACGGCATTAAGTTACAAGAAGTGTTCTACATTTGTATAGGGTGTTTAGCAGAAATTGGTGTCTTGAACATCATTCGGTGCAGTTCACAGCCCTGTCCTTCTTGAGACCTAAACTGTTCTGGATTCTGACCTACATGCCCGTAAATGTGCTGACTATTTCAGGGAGGCTATTTCAATGTCACCCACGCATCCAAAACGTCATAATAGCGTCATTAAAATCCCACCATTCCACAGACCATGCGGCGTCCACCGCAAAAAAACATCATGTCGTCCATATCTGACGTCCGCGAACGCGATATCCAGATAATGTAGATGTCAATTGGCTGTAAACCAATGTTTTGCAAGCTATCTCAGATTTCAACACAAATTCCGTTGTATGCTGCATCTTACAAGAAGTTAAACGTACTTCTTTGATCATACGAAAAAAGTTGTAATCGGAATACTTCAGAATAACGCCATAACCGCTATAACCGAGCATGTGAGTCCAAGAAAACATGTCAAGCTCTGATATGAATACTCAAGAACACTACAAGAAAGTGCCAAAACACGAGCACGTCACGATGTTTTCACAAGCGAACACTATCAGCCCGTGCTGCCATCTCTCGGAAGATTGAAAACCTACAGATGAATGCTGTCATACAGACTTTCCGTGGTGCAATCAAGCAATGACGTGGTGAGGTGCACATTTAATAAATCGAGAAATTTCATGATCTAGGGCTGTCTTTTCCTCTTTAAACCACACCAATGGTTATATGTCAGCTTATTTCACTACATTTGTTGTGATTTTATATTCTTCACTTGCAATCGCACACTCGGTTATGACCATGTTAAGTGAAAGGGAGTGTTCCACATTTGCTTGCAGTTTTCACCTGAACTTGCCATCTTCTAGATCATTTGATGCAGTTCACAGCTCTGCTCTTCTCTTCTGCTGGGCTCTGAGCCGCATGCCCGCGAAATGTGCAGATTTTTTGAAGAAGACTATTCCAATGTCACCCGGGCATCTAACACACCATAATAATGCCACTGAAAAACTTCCAATTCAGCGCTCATGCCGTGATCAATGCTGAGAAGACAATAACTGTCGAGTCGTTAAGGCGTTGCGCTCGTGAGCACGATTCCAAGATGTAGCTGGCGTCAGTTGGCTATCAATCTATGTTGTGCAATGTACGATGACGTAATCTAACATTGCACGAATGAGGAGCATCTTTACAAAACAGCATATCTATTTATTCAATAAAAATCAATTTTTCCATTCCAGTGGTCATGCAGTGATCGAGGAGAAGAAGAATGTAACTGTCGAGTCGTTAAGACGCAGGGTTCTTGAGCACCATATCCCGATATTGCAGTCGTCTGTTGGCTATCAACCCATGTTGTGCAAGATACGATGTTGTAATCGAGCAATGACGTAGTAAAGAGCATTTTTAGTGAACAGAGAAACTGTGTTGTTTAGAACTGTCTCTTCCACCTAAAAGTATACCAACAGTTATAAGTAAGCTTAGTTCATCATACGTCATGCTTGTTTCAATTTTTCAGATATGAAACATTCTCTTTGAGTTTGACCCATTTTCTTGGTGTTTTTCCATATTTGCCCCTTATTTTATATTGCTTACTTGGATTCATATATTCGATAAGAGCACCATTACGATAAAGTAAAAATTGATTAACGTAAATTCTTCCAATCTCAGCCTTTCTTCCGTCATTACTCGTACCACTGTTAAATTCATGTATGCCATGGCACAAAACGTGACTCGTGTCCGAAAGCTGCACTGCACGCATTACATTGGTTGAAGGCTCACCGAATTAAGATGACGTCAGAAATCGTACTTTTACTTATTTTTACTCGTATTTTTACCTCTTTTCTATCATTACCGGGGTTTTCTCCTTCGCGGTAGGTATATGCACTTAGCTTTACTTTCGACGCCATGTCGGAGGTTTTCAGTCTGGATCATATAAGTAGTTTTCCATGAGCCCGGAGGTTCAGAGAAAGTCTTTAGCCAGCTTCCGTCGCACCATCTTCATTAATGAACCGTCTGCCAATATGAGTGGAGATGCCACAAGGTGATGTATAAGAAGGAATGCAGCGGTTTATACTAATGTCGCACCAACCTGTGTTTGGCGGGTCGCAATTCAACACTCGACAACAGAAGGCAACCAGTTGGTAAGAACCACGGTATACACGAATAATTTTTACTTTCTAAATGCTTTTAAATATCGCAACACCATACACCATCAATGATATGAATTGTACCGCACGGTCTTACCTCGTCAAGCTAAACATAGGGGCATGATCCAAACAATCAGTGTTGTCACCTTAGCCAGCAAATCTCAGCGTCATCTTGTCCCAGAAATGTCAGAACTCAACTTCTCCAGGAAGAAAGGAGTAGAAATTGATTGTTTGCAAGAGCCAGCAGCGGTGTCTACCAATGCAGGACGTACTGCCACCCAGCCAGGATCAGTCGAGGGTCGGGACCGGACAAGGTCGGGCCAGGGGCGGTGTTTCTGGTCCCACCCCACCCGGCCCCACTCCGCGGTCTGACACTGCTGACCATGAGCTGGCACAACCTTGAACGACCAGCTGCCCCGTATAAAACGGGGCACACTTGGAGCTGGGATCAGTTCACTGCAGAACACACAGCTAACATGAAAGTAAGTGGCTTATGTGTGCTGTTTACCGCACTGGCCGTTGGGGATAAGTCAGTTGTTAGGTCTTTACAGACTGAAACAATCTGAGTTGGTGTTCCACCCGAAGAGGCAAAACTTTGACAAACGATATTCTGGTCCGGTATTTTTGTTAAACTATCCCACGCATACCTTGTCTATTACCATAGATTGAAATGAAATTGAAATGCATGCTCAGCCAAAAAGGATGGGTGACTTAGCACGAGACCGTTTCCACACTTCTCCACCGTCAACCATAAAGGTTGTGCCTCGGTAGATATATTCGTAGGAGAGCGTGGAGTCACTTGTTACTGACCCATTTTATCTTGACAACTGGTTGCAAGCGCCTTTAACAGCGTAAATAGCTTGTAACGCGTCTGGTCGTGCCGCTGCTTGCAGTTTATGCTGATCCTCGCCATCGCCACCACGGCCGCGGCCGCGCCCCAGCACGGCAATGGCTACGGCCATCAGCAGGACTACCACGAGAAGCGGCCGTAAGTGGTGCTCCCCTGATGTAGGTTTCGCACATGCACTGGCGATTCCGCTTGTAATCATTCTTATAAAAGTTTGGAAGAATGCAGCACATCAAGAGGCCCGTTAATGACAGATTAATCAGTAATATCATATCATTTGCTCACTCATACGCTCACTCATATAATATCATATCACTCAAATTAATATCGGTTTAATCACTCATATCAGGTTTGTTGTCAGTGTTGACAAAAACGCAGTCCGTTCAGCCGAATACAAATGTCATGGCAATCCTACCGCAATCAAATGATCGCAAAGGTATCATCCCTATGTTGTCTTGTCCAGGTACGCCTACGACTACGCCGTGCACGACTCGCACTACGGCGCCCAGTTCTCCAAGACGGAGCATAGCAACGACGACAACGTGGAGGGCCAGTACAGCGTCGTGCTGCCCGACGGCCGCACTCAGCATGTCAAGTACTACGCCGACCACTACGGCGGCTACAATGCTGACGTCACGTACGAGGGCTACGCCCAGCCCGCAGCTTACCACGCCCAGCCCGCCCACAAGCCCGCCTATCGGCCCGTCCACAAGGCCACCTACGCTGCTGCGCCTGTGCATCACCGCTCCGCCTACAAGCCCGCCTACTCCCCTGCTCCGGCTTACCACAAACCCGCCTACAGGCCCGTTTATTAAGATTGCAGGAAACAGCAGGTCTGTGTACAAATGATTAGCGAAGAGGAACACTGCAGCCACGGAGACGACAGCTATTGGTATATCATGCAAGAAGTCTGCTGAATGTTGTTGACGTGAAAAATTACTTCGGTTTTTATTTTTGTTTGCACTTAAATCATAACCTTTTTATCTTGAAGCAGGGTAGCCTGCTATTCATGTGTGATGGTTTGCATCCCGTGAGTCTAAACGTTTTGTCCTTGTCCTTTTTGTCGCGGGTGTTCGTGAAGTTTTGTTGCATATTTATTTGGAAATATATACGGTCAGTAATGATATGTTGTTTCCATCTTACATATTCTCGGATAGAGGTGGGAACAGTTCGAAGCCCCTCCGGGTTTTTTCCCACAATATCTTTCGAAAGTGGCGGCGCGGCAGCACACAACTTGGCATAGCTGTAGTCCGCTGAATTGCTTATATTTGGGTATAAACAGTTTGGTGTATCTTGTAAGACTGCTGACCCATGGCAGGTCAAAGTCGGACTATGGCTGTTCGCGAAGGCAGTTCCTTGGGAATCGTTCAATGTGATGTTATCACGGAATATTACACAAAACAATGCATCTCTTGCATGCGTCAATGAGATAGTTACTTAGACAATAAGACAAATTATTTTATCATTGCCTCTTCTTCCACTGACCTTGGGTCATGAATGTATGTCAGACCGAGGTTAACACCAAGCCGCTTTGTTCTAGAGAACTTGCTTTACAAGAAAGCTTTTGACAATAATTTCGAATTTTTTGATTGCAGTTACGATGGCAGACATCGTAATTGGACTCAATGAAGGTCATAGGTCAGTGACCTAAATGACCCCGTCAACCTGTTGTTTTAAGGAGCATCCCGCCGGCGGTGATCTGTTACTCTCATTTAAATGAAATAACGAAACTAGTCTCGTGGTCGTTTATCATCAAGATCTTCCCAAGGCCGCTGGTCGCTGTTATGGCCACTGATCTGAGATGAGTACGAGCACGCTTTAGCTTACAAGAGGTATCACGTCAAAGTGGCTGCATGATGAGGTCTGAGGGCAATCCACACACCGATTTGGAGTTTTCCCTTGCTTGACCTTATTTGACCCCCAGATTTATTATCTAAGAGCTTCAAAATTCGTCATAGAGTATTTCGCATACATGCCTACCTAACCTGCGAATTTCGTGTCTCGAACTCACTTATTTTTTGACATCTCAGTGGTTCAAATTACCTCGCACGTTATATCCCATGAAGATAATGTTCCACATTTGAAGATATCGAAGCAAGTATGAAGTGGCGTTCTTAAATATTTATTCGTAAGTTTAAGGTGCTTGGTTGTATTCACATGCTTATTTACAGCGCAATTATAGCTTATTCGATTACAAGTCCTATCTCCGTAATAGCTTGGAAAAATGTATAACCTCTTATATTACACAGCACAAAACGTGATTCGTGTTAGAGTCCTGCATAAATTACAAAACATTTGTTGAGAGCTAATTTAGGGTCGTTATTTCTGGAAATTATTTCTGGAATTTCTGGAACCAACTTTTTTCATCATATGCAACAGCACGAGATAGAATCACAACGCGGTAGCGAACATCTTTGTCTGGATTAGTGAGACCGGTTCCTGACAGTAAAGCAATGGGCGTAACGCAGATGAACTTACCCTGTTTTATATCGGGAGAATGAGACCCGGACCGAATCAGACTGATGTTCGGGCCTCTTGCATCTGGTGGACTCGGTGTGTGCGGATTGTAGCCCGCAACAATGGGCGTTCTTTTGCCAGGGTCCTATGCTTTTGCAACTTGGATGAAAAGGATCCCATGACTTCGTGGGCGAGATAAGTAAATATCTTCCCGTGTGTGTGTGTGTGTGTGTGTGTGTGGTGTGTGTGTGTGTGTGTGTGTGTGTGTGGTGTGTGTGTGTGTGTGTGGTGTGGTGGTGTGTGTGGTGTGTGTGTGTGTGTGTGTGTGGTGTGTGTGTGTGTGTGTGTGTGTGTGGTGTGTGTGTGTGTGTGTGTGTGTGTGGTGTGTGTGTGTGTGTGTGTGTGTGTGTGTGTGTGTGTGTTGTGTGTGTGTGTGTGTGTGTGTGTGTGTGTGTGTGTGTGTGTGTGTGTGTGTGTGTGTGTGTGTGTGTGTGTGTGTGTGTGTGTGTGTGTGTGTGTGTGTGTGTGTGTGTGTGTGTGTGTGTGTGTGTGTGCGTGGCTTAAACAAAGAGGTGATATGAACCGAAGACCATCCCCACCGCAAAATAT